CACATACTGGATGGTGGCGCTGTAGGGCGCACTTATCTTGCTTTGAACACATGGTGTCCGATTAGTGGGCCCTGTGTAAACCATTGGAATGAATTGCTGGTCTGAGGTCTGTGACATACTCACAGATATGACCTCAGAGTCTTAATAACATGGGCGTGAGCTAACCCATGTATCCAATAAAGGTTAAACATATGCAGGTTTTACTGGTGAACTGACAGGCAGGCTAAGAGCAGAAAAGATGCAACCATGTGCATTGTGCATTTCATTTTCTTGTAACACATTTAGCATATGCATATGTACATATTCACGTGTGTGTGTGTATTCATTTATGCAAAACACAATTTTATATACAACAGTTGATTTAGTATAAATATTATTTACACTTCATATGTGACCCTGGACCACAAAACCAGTCATAAGTGTCAATTGTCTGAATAAATAAGCTTTCCATTGATGTATGGTTTGTTATAGGACAATATTTGGCTGAGATACAACTACTTGAAAATCTGGAATCTCAGGGTGCAAAAAAAAATCAAAATACTGCGAAAATCACCTTTAAAGTTGTCTAAATGAAGTTCTTAGCAATGCATATTACTAATCAAATATTAAGTTTTGATATATTTACGGTAGGGACTTTACAAAATATCTTCATGGAACATGATCTTTACTTAATATCCTAATGATTTTTTGGCATATAAGAAAACTCAATAATTTTGACCCATTGGTTATTGCTACAAATATACCCATGCTACTTATGACTGGTTTTGTGGTCCAGGGTCACATTACTAATCAAATATTAAGTTTTGATATATATATTTACGGGACTTTACAAAATATCTTCATGGAACATGATATTTACTTAATATCCTAATGATTTTTTGGCATATAAGAAAACTCAATAATTTTGACCCATTGGTTATTGCTACAAATATACCCATGCTACTTATGACTGGTTTTGTGGTCCAGGGTCACATAAGTGTACTAAATCAACTATTCTATTTAAAATTGTGTTTTGAAAATTTAGTTTAATAATTTAATATCCGATGACAGACAACGCAGAGTCCCATTAAAAGAGATTCATGTAAAGGTAAAATGAATACATACATGTTTAATTGGCCATATTATAAGATATAACATAATAGCAACACTATGAATTCTAACTGAAATTATTTCACTCAATTTCTAGTACAGGTTTTAATGATTAGTGAAGATGTCTAAAGTGTACATCTAACTCACTAAGAGCCACTAAGAGCCTTTTGTCTGGGCATCTTACCACAAGGCTCTGATTTTACCCTTTCAAAATAAAAACAAGATTTTTTTACTCCACACATCTGAAACATTTATGTGTCCACAAATCTCTTATTAACAAATAGACACAAAAACCTTTGATATTCAGCATAATACAATATCATAGATAATGATAGCCAAGCCATTCATTAAATGTGTTGGTGGGGTAATTTACTTTAAATCCTTTAACATCTTTGTAACAAATAAATGAACAAATACCATCGTACTGGATCCACTGTAGAAAAAAACTTGTTCGATGCCATCTGTATCTAATTCTGATAAAGTACACTGTTGCTAAATGTCTTGCACAGCTGAATTCCATTAGCCTCCATTTTACTCAATGGCCTCTTCTATCCTGATTCCATCCACCAGCAGGGAATGAACTATTCCGTTTCGCTTCCTTCCACTACTTGTTGCTTTAATGCAGCATTCATGGTTCTCCACTGCAAAGTGTGTCTCGCTTCCATTCTCTGTAAACTCCCCCTGCACAAAGGAAATCAATATAAACACAGGCCTATGACTAAACAAGCACCAGTCTTGGGAAAGATGTGATATGAAAAAGATGGTGTTAAGTTTTTCCACAGTGGCCACACAACTACACCATTAGCCGACTTGACTCAGACTTAAAGGTGCAATAGGTGATTGTCTTCAGAAACATTTTTTGTTATGCTGGTTGAAAGTCTCTTCACATCCCGATACACAGAGTTCATTGCTCCCTACTCCCTGAGCAGGGGAAATCCGTTGAAGTTTACTTCACTTCGGAACATGGGCTGGAATTGGGAACCTGATGTAGCCTATTGTAGTAATGTTGTCTCTGGTCTGTGAGTGTAAATGCGTTCAGGGGGCGTGGCTTTGGACGGCGATTGCAGGAAGGGTGGGACGTTCGCTTTCAGTGCTATCAGGCTAAAGTTAGCATTTTCCAAGATCTCCTATTGTACCTTTAAATAAACAATGGACCAAAGTGGATCTTTCATAGACCCAAAGGCATGTGCTAGTCTGAAATGCAGTATTAAAATTACTTACCATAGTCTCCATTTTCTGTCCATTGCACCATAGATCCATAGTGTCTTTCTCTAGTGAAACAGAAAAGAAAAAAAAACAATAGTTTGCTAATAGTTGTGTTTTAATTACAATTTAACTGTCTAATGTCTGCATGAGAACAGGCCAAATCAAACAAGCAATTTTTTTTGTTCTTTTAGTAAAGCAACATGCACTAATTTAGTCCAGATGTTTTCACACTTTTTGATGCCTTAGACCCCCACATGATGATCCACTTGAGAGGACATCCCTTCCTAAAATATAATGGCAGATGTATTTTTATGAAAAAAAAAACCTAATTGGAATTGGACTCCGGACCCTAATTGGAAGTCATTCTCTTCTTACAGTGTGGTTGGACAATATAATATACAAAGCATATTCTTTTTACATCATAAATCAAGGGGGATGTTTTGACAGTGTCTCTTACCTAGAACTACCCTGTAATCAGCACCACCCAGTTTCAGCACCCATGTTTTGGACATTTTTGATCGGTTGTACAAAAAAGTTTGGAGACTTTTTCTGTTGATGTCCAGTGTGTACTCATAGGAAAACCCAGTGATCGCCTCAATAGATATGGTTGCTTTTGTATCTGTGCTCCCAACAGGGAATGTTTCTTTGCCCACCAGTTTGAACATCCAATCCCTCCTCAACACCTCCTTAAAAAGTGGATAAGACTTAATATAATTATTTTATATGATCTTATTCATATAATATCTGGTCTCTACATGGTATCAGATATTATCTTATTTTATTATCTTAATTATAATAACATAAGATACATATTACACCTTATCTTATTATCACTACCTTATCTTATTATTGTCTTAATATCAAATTCAAGGTAAAATAAAAAGATTACATAAAAATATTAATAGAAACTTGAAATACAGTGAATGTTTCTTTGCCCACCAGTTTGAACATCCAATCCCTCCTCAACACATCCTTAAAAAGTGGATAAGACTTAATATAATTATTTTATATGATCTTATTCATATAATATCTGGTCTCTACATGGTATCAGATATTATCTTATTTTATTATCTTAATTATAATAACATAAGATACATATTACACCTTATCTTATTATCACTACCTTATCTTATTATTGTCTTAATATCAAATTCAAGGTAAAATAAAAAGATTACATAAAAATATTAATAGAAACTTGAAATATAAAACTTTGTATATGAAGTAGGCCACAGCCTAAATTTAATGATTATATAGGCCTACATATGTAGAAATATAAGACAACTATCTAATCTAATCTAACATAATGACAAATAAAATAAATACATATTACTGACTACTTCTCACCTTCCCATTGATGTAAATGACCCGTTTCCCTGTTGTTGTTCCATGTTCAAACTCAATTCGGTAAACCCCATCACTTAGCGACACGTCCCACGCTCCCACAATGTCTCCGGACATGCTGCGTTAAGATCCACACTGCCCAACCGCTCTATACTATTTTTAATTCTATGTAATGTTTTAGCTTCCGCTTGATCATAGTAGCAGTCCTCAATATGCGCAACTGCTGATTAAATCTCTGTATATTATTGAGGCTGCCATCCTACTGTATGCTCGCTCAGCAACGAGTGCATTAGTGTAAGAGGCTTAACTTATCAAGGCAGTTGAGTGTTTGAGGAGACAGTTATTTTCACTGCAATTAAATTTAAATTGACATTAGGTCTAGGAGTAAAAATCATAAAAACTTTTTCAATTGTTAAAAAGCTTGGATGTTTTCGATGCTCTCGGGTCACTACCAATAGATGGCAGTCCTCTCTCTGGCTCTGGCTTTCTCTCTCTCTCTCGCTCTCTCTCTCGCTCTCTCTCTCTCTCCCTATTATTAATTAAATAAATAAATAAAGTTTTATTATAACCTGAAGCAGATTGAACTGCAAAAATGCATATTTATGTAGGCTTTGTGATCAATAAACTTTGTTTTTTAATATTTAAAAAAGTACATAAAATACTTTACAACCCTATTTAATGCAATGTTATGGAATATGAAGTTGTGCGAAGTTAACGTAGCATATGTACGTAACATATTAGCAAGTCACGCTATTATCATATCAAAAGAGAGTGGGCGTGGTCAATCTGGCTGTGAGTCCCGCTTGTTCAGAACTTTCTTCCAGATTTCAGTGCGTGGAGATCAGAGAGCATTGAGTAGCATTGGAGACGATGATCGTGAGCTGAGTGTCTTTTCACATCGTTGTTTAAAGGATACAAACGGGAAAAAGTGTTGTGGAGTTTTGCCTGTCTTTCCTGGAAAGTACTGGACGTAACTGAATATTATAATGAGGGAATTTAGACGGAATAATGCATTTCTTTATTATAACCTGAAGCAGATTGAACTGCAAAAATGCATATTTATGTAGGCTTTGTGATCAATAAACTTTGTTTTTTAATATTTAAAAAAGTACATAAAATACTTTACAACCCTATTTAATGCAATGTTATGGAATATGAAGTTGTGCGAAGTTAACGTAGCATATGTACGTAACATATTAGCAAGTCACGCTATTATCATATCAAAAGAGAGTGGGCGTGGTCAATCTGGCTGTGAGTCCCGCTTGTTCAGAACTTTCTTCCAGATTTCAGTGCGTGGAGATCAGAGAGCATTGAGTAGCATTGGAGACGATGATCGTGAGCTGAGTGTCTTTTCACATCGTTGTTTAAAGGATACAAACGGAAAAAAGTGTTGTGGAGTTTTGCCTGTCTTTCCTGGAAAGTACTGGACGTAACTGAATATTATAATGAGGGAATTTAGACGGAATAATGCATTTCCCTCAATCATTTGACAAACTCATTCGCTTTGGATTATGACATTATATAATTTTTCTACGAAGACGAGTTGGAATTACTGTTAGTGGTTTCTTTACATCCGTTTTACATAGTTTTATTAAGTATTATTCTGTCTTTGTAAACTATTAGTAATGTAACACGTTTTAACCGTTTGTTTGTCACTCTTGATAATTTGTGACTCGCTGCTGTTGGATCAAATTACGCTAAAACCATTTCCAAACCTACTCGCCTATCCAATGTCATAATTCTGGAGTTATTTGTATTTATGTACAGTAGCAGTATAATTGCAATGAAAAATCTTCAGGTACATGTCATTTTGTTGACTCTGACGTGGATTCATGCATCTGACTTGAAGTCTTCCATGGTCCTGAATTACACAGGAGCAGAAGAAGGAAATGCACAATTACAACCAAACACTTTTGTCAAAAAGTACACAAATGATATACAATCATATAGAAGATCTGCAAGGTTATCCACTTCCAGGAACACAGATATACTCAGGAAGCCTCAGAATGATCAGAACGTGGAGTCCTCACGACCCCCAGCCAGGAGGCTCCTGAAAGGGCAAAGACCAGTTCCACACAGGAAACCCAGTGTAACTGACAGCAGTCCTGCTCAAGAACCTAATTTTCAATCTACTCCACTGGGCGCCACTAGCTCCATTAACATCTTGGCTGGCTTTGCAGGTAAAAACCGTGTGCTGGTCATTTCGGCTCCCAACGACTCTGATGGCTATTACAGGTTAATGATGAACTTGCTCAAGCCTGATGTGTACTGCGAGATGGCGTACAGACACATGCAGCAGATCATAATGTTTCATGACAAGGGGAAGATGGGAGGCAAGGTGAGACGAGTTAGCAATCAGGGATCTCTGGTGGAGGAGCCGCTGGATCCAGCCCTGGTGCCAAGACTTATGGGCTTCCTGAAGTTGGAGGATGGTAAGTTTGGAATGGTGCTTCTAAGAAAAACCCTTCAGGTAGAGGAAAGATACCCATACCCTGTTCAGCTGGAGGCAATTTATGAAGCCGTAGACCAGGCACCTATGCGTAGACTGGAGAAGGCCAGGCAAAAGGGCTTTGTGCAAAAGTGCAAGACTGCTGGAGTTGAGGGCCAAGTGGTGCAGTCTGTTGGCTCAAATGCAGTTGGTTTGCAACCACAGGTGAACATGGCAGAAAACACAAGGCGACACAAGGTAAAACCGGTCCCTCAGCCCACCCAGATGACTCAGGCACAAATATCAACTACCATCAGCACTACTACAATGACTACAACCACAAAACGTACTACCTTGAAAACTACAACCTCAAAACCTACTATAACAACCACTGCACCCTCTACCACCATTTTCCCCTCAACAACAACTACTATTACTACAAATATACCCACAACAGTGGGGCAAACACATCCACACACAACCGTACCCTGGCACACATCTGTTCCCAATACCTCTGAACGTGTCTACCGGTCCTCACCACGAAACCATCTGAGGGACACAACTACTCATCTCTCTGTTACCTCAAACTTCTACAAACAACGTAAAGAAAAATACCCAGACCACACGCAAAAGATTTCAACTGCAATCTCACCAACACAAGCATCCATACAGAAGCCCAAGGACAAACTGCCTGTGGTGAAACATGGATGGAGTAAAAAGCTTAGTCAGCACAGCAGAGAACGTGACACACAGAGGCCCACTGCTAATAAACCAGAGACGGAACTTATGACCAGCCAAAAGGGGAAAACTAAACCTGACAGTGCCGACAGGGGGAAGAAGATGGATAGACCTGAAAAGCCTTTAAGGAAGATACCTGCAGGGAAAAAAGACTCAAAAGTGACTAAGGAGACAAATGTTAGTGTTCAAAATAAAAAAGTGCAAAAGCCAGATGTCTTTGAAGAAAGGGCTGTTGTGGATCAGGCAGCGAATCCCAAGAAATCGTTAGACACTTTTTTGAGTTATTTTCAGAGAAGACGACGACTCATGGTACGTATGGCATAAGTGAGACACATGAAAAAAGTAATATAGAGATATAGCTCGGGGCTCAACAATAAGGATTTTACAATGCCCAATGGATAAGTGCTATAGCTTACAATTTTTTTATTTTTGATCATTACACATTACATGTCACGAAATGTTTTCTAAGACAGTTGGTGACATGGAATTCTGTTCTTATCTATAGATAAAATATTTAGAATTTGAGCTATTACTGCAATATTTCTTTAGAAAAAGTTTAGAAAAATTAGCATTTGATGAAAACAAAAAATTGTGTGTAAAACTGTAAAAGTATTTTTTTAAATATATTTTAAAATATTTCTAAAATAGATATTAAATAATACATGTAAAAAAAATACATTAAATTACAATTTTTACATTTTAAATGTAAAAATAAATGTAAACATTTAAATTCATAATTTCACTTATCCAATCCATATTTTCAGAAGTGATGATATACAAGTTAGGTTTAAAGTTGCGTTATTTGCTCATTAAAAAAATTATATTACGTTCTAAAAAATTAAGAAGTATTTTGGTTCATAAAAGCACTTTAACAACTGTTTAGTGTCTTATTAATCTTCTCATTCTCATCGGCTGCAGATAATTACTGCTCCAGATGAGCAGAATCATATGTACAGTGAACAGAGGGATGAGTACCTGGAGCAAGTTTGTGATATGGCACTACGTAAAATTTCCATCATCAGCATCTTTGGGCCCCTCACAAACAGTACCATGAAGATTGAACACTACCAGACAGGTCAGTGCTGCTTACCGTGTTTGTTTGTAACATGTCCTATCAAAATGTCTTCATTCAGATTCTATTTTTTAAATTATTATTATTATTATTATTTAACAGAACAGGATAAGCCCTTGCGGGGCCTGCCGGACAGTGACCTTATCAACCAGGACCTCATCACAGCATTTCGGAAGCATTTTGGGATGATTTATAATGATTTCAACATAGTGTTGACTGACTTTGACATGAAAGTCAAGGTGTGTAGTAAAAAAAAAACCTAGATCATTTTATCAGTGTATATGAGATGTAGATGTAATCATTTCTGATCTAATTTTATAACACAAAATTATGCATTCCTGGTTTCCACAGCAACGATATGAAGTGCCGATTGTCATGAAAGCAGTGTTTGACTACATTGACACATTGTCAACCCGCATTAAAGAAATAGAACAGCAGAGGAAACATGCAGTTATGTGCAAGAAAGAAGATAAATCAAGATCTCTCGAGGACTTCCTATCTAGGTTTGAAATTACTGTTTGTTTTTTGTGAAAATATATAATGCATTAACATAAAGAATAGGCTCATCTCAATGCTTTTTCATTAAAATGTCTCTTAAGATTCCGTTGGAGGCGGAGACTGTTTGTAATATCCACCCCTACTGATGAAGAATGGGCCTATCAGCAACAACTCTACACCATTAATAGCCAAGCCTGCAATCTGGGTGAGATCCTTTGGGTAAACCGTAGCAACGTAATTTAAGAACATCTTCCACTTAATACTACATATTTTAATAAACATGCGCTTTTAAATGTAAACATACTACTAGTGCTATTTACTATAGACAAATCCAAAAGAATGAGACAAAGAGAAATGTTTCATTTCACATTCAGTGGTGTACGCTATATGCTAGTACATTATCACCAAAGCCCATAGACTTGAAATATTTACTTGAAGCACAACATACACTATAAAACAATATGTAGGATTTCTATTAGGCATTAAACAGAATATCCATTAAAAGTTATTTCAGCCAGTGGAATCACATTGGGGTCCTAGACGGACTGAATTGTTCATGACATCAGTAGTTGCGTAAAACTAGCCCATCTGAAAATGTACTAGACTGAGAAATTGCAGGAAAGTTGAGACTATATAACACCGCACTCAAATGATCAATATGAGGACCATGTTATGAAATACAGAACGCTCTAAGAGCTTTGCTGTATCAACACCACTCCCAAATGTTTATGTAACTTGGGAAAATAGACACTTTTTTTGTTCTCTGAAATTCCATGATAAGCATTTATAAACTAATTTGGTGTCCATTCCAATGAACACCCTATGCACTCATGTCAACAGCTGTCATTTTTATGGACATTCCAATCAAAACTGCATGATATAACACAACTACTCTTAAGTTCATTATACATTATCTGGATGTCTGACCTTCCAAAAAAAACAGCTTAACAACAGCTGACAACTAACGTTAAAAAACGATTTGCAGTACATCTTGGGAACTGGTCAAAGTCAGATTCTCCAGAGATCTTCCTGCTTATAGAAATGCACATATGTTATTGGTACTTTTCTTTTAATTGGAACCAGCTCTCATCTTCACAAGAGCCCTCAATCACAAATGCCTCTGAGGAATGGCACCAATAAAAATAGGATGACGCAGTCCTTTTACAGCTCTTTTGTTGGCTATTTTGGAGGTAGGAACATTGTTAAGAATCTTTCTCTGCATTCTTTACAATCCAGGAGGACCTGTGGATGTTTGGGTCCTGCATAGCGATCCAACAGAGACCACTTCCTCTCTGTGGCATGACAGCTTGATTGATGCCCTCATAAAAGAAGGCCTGTTTTAGAACAAAAAACAACAACGGACATCTTTAATGCAGATCACATGCATGTTTCAGAGAACATCTCTATAAAAAACTCTCACTCCAATCTCATGTATATAGTACGAGTCAGAGTTGGAAACGGCTGAGTCATCTTTAGTTGTTTATCGGTTTAGTCTTTCCGGGCATCTATGAATTAACCAGCGTTTTTCATAAATTGTTATAAATTCACAGGCCTGCGTCATATATCTCTATTGAAACTTGTTGGAAAAACCCTGGATGACACGAGTGGAGTCCTGGAGCTTTATCCCATAAATGGTGAGATTGTTTTGCATTGAACAAAACTCTTTTATGGCCCCTGCACTTCCTTTATTGCTAAAAATATGATGTAGTGCCATTTTATTATGGAAAAAACTGAGGAAACTCTGGTTTGCATTGCAGGAAGTGTATCAGTGGACCGTGAGGACCTGTCTGCCTCGCTGGTGCAGGACATTAGGAATTACTTCCAGATCAGCCAAGAATATTTCTCCATGCTGCTTGTCGGGAAAGATGGCAATGTGAAATCCTGGTATCCCTCCCCTATGTGGTCCATGTCAATCATTTACGAGCTGGTCGACTCCATGCAGCTTCGTAGGCAGGAGATGGCCATCCAACAGTCTCTCGGCATGCGCTGCCCTGACGATGACTATAGTCATCATGATGGTTACCATGAGGGCTATCATCGTGGTTACGGATATTAAGAACAGAGGGGAATGTCTTAGAGCCTGTGCACTCTCTACTAGGAAAAGTGTGAATAGTTTCAAATGTCAGAAAACCTTGCCTTTGCGTTTTTCTTACTAACTACGTCTACGGACAACTCTCACTTTACTATTTTGTGGTAGCTGATATTTAGATTTGCTGTTGACATGAAGTAGATGATTTCTTTGATGTTTTTGATTTTGACTTTTCATAACATGAATGTATTTGCATGTGGGAAAACGGTACGTTTACGAATTAACAATAATAAACTTTAAATTCCAATAAAGAAAAAAAAGTGATTTGTTAATGTTTGTGTTTGTTCATCAATCAATCTCAGAGAAGCAAAAAAAAAAGATTGTACATATTTTGTAGACTGTAAAGTCCTAAGAAAGCGTTTCGTATTCTGGGAACTTTTATGTATGGCCTGTTTTAGCTGAATATTCTTCCATCTGGAATTTCTCTACTGACCTCTACTGGGCATTTTGGGATAGTGTAAAAATATGTCTTGCAGAGTATTGTGTCCGTAGTGTGTAGTTTTGTAAGAGGACTACAAACCATTTTGTAAGTGGATTTTTCATACATCTAATGATCTGCTGGAAGATTTAAAATAAGTATTTTTTTAAAAAGCCAAATGTTAAACGAGGTTATTAGCATATGTATCTGCAGTTGAGCACTTTTAATTTTAATTAGTGCAAACCGTACATATTTTATACCAAAATAAATGCACAGAGCCACATTTTCAGTGATCAGGTCATTTATTTTACTTCTGCAGAAAACATCTACAAAATCATACTTGTACAGAAAACCACACTCAATATGTTCTGCTTTTGTATCCAACATTATAGAGCACATATAACACCTAAAAACAAATAAATACCTTAAAAGGAAATACTAATGTTGTTCCCACACACAAAATACTCATACAACCCCATTTTGGTCTCAAATTTCCACAATTCTTTACAACATGACTAAAATATTGCTAGAGATTAAAAATGACATTTTGTTATAATGTTGGCACAATCATTATACAGTGAACAAGACAATCATATGTTATTGCTGTAAAAATACACATTTCAAATTGTATTCTGATGAAGGCTGAATATTTAAGAAAATATATCTAAACACAGTATTATTGCAAGTAAATTAAGCACTGCATATTTCTAAAAAAAGCTTTCTACTGCAACATTTTTCTTTAAAGTTAGACCATAAAGATTTAAAGATACTTGCCAAGCTGAATAAACAAATATGCTGCAATAGATGGTGCAATGCACTAACTATACCAAGTAATATTACCATGTAATTATAGACAAATCTAAATAATGAACTTAATTCTGTTGTGTGTAATCTGATATATCCAGGACTATAAGAGCAGTGTTCAATAAACACACAAATGTCTTACCTCTTTATCTGTAAATTCAGTGCTTTTTAAAGAATAATTTATTAAATAAAATGGTAACACTTTATTTTAAGGACCAATTCTCACTATTAACTATCACTCTCAGAAAAAAAGGCACAAAAGCTGTCACTGGGGCGGTACCTTTTCAAAAGGCACACCTTTGTACCTAAACAGTCCATATTGGTACCTTAAAGGTACATATAAGTACCTAAAGTGTACATATTAGTACCTAAAAGGTACAAAAGTGTACCTTTTGAAAAGGTACCGCCCCAGTGACAGCTTTTGTACCTTTTTTTCTGAGAGTGTACATATAAGTACCTAAAGTGTACATATTAGTACCTAAAAGGTACAAACAAAAGTGTTTTGAAAAGGTACCGCCCCAGTGACAGCTTTTGTACCTTTTTTTCTGAGAGTGTAGCATGCATATTACTAATATATTGGCGGGTACTTACAAAGCACATATTGGATTAGATCCCTTAATCCTACCCCATACCTAAACTTAAAAACTACCTTACTAACTTTTAATAAGCAGCAAATTAGAAGTTTATTGATGCAAAAGTCATTAGAATAGTTAGAATTGGACCTTAAAATAAAGTGACCAATAAAACATAGATGGAATGTCCAACAAAACTAAAGTCACTTAAGCCCCGTTCACACCAAGAACGATAACTATAAAGATAACGATATTAGCGTTTGAAAGTGATTCCAACGATATCATTTCTTTGTCTTTATCGTTATAGCGGTGGTGTGGACTCTGCTATTCTTTAATATTGAGAACGATTTTTAGAACTATATCTTTATCGTTATCGTCCTTGGTGTGAACGGGCCTTTATAGTTTGAAGGAGAAATTGTATAATTTAAGGCCAGCAGCACAGCATGATAAACTGTTGCAACATTATACAACAGTTAGCATTGTTCCTCAAATTTGATTGGTCACATGACTGTCTGTTTGATTTAGTCACTGATTCAGACAAAAACAAAATCATACTACTTCGTGTTGCACAGAGGTTGATTGTTTTGTCGCTTCATTTGGAAATATTTTCCTTGACAGACCACAAACAGACAAAAAATACTGACAAGGTTGTGTCTAAAAGGTCACATATCATCGCTCTCTTTTTTTATAATAAAAAAAGCAATAATCACAATCATAATTGTGCTGCTATTCAAAATCAGCTCCAACCAAATGAGCTGACAAAGAAAAATATTTTTGATAGTCAGTGAAGAAAACAGCACCAAGTGTTGTTTTTTTTCATCTTCATATGAATATATCTATTCAAAATCAAAATGTGTGTAAAAAATGTAATTTGCAGTGAAAGTACCATAATTCCTCAAATGTGTCAGAGAAAAACAGAAAAGATTGCAGATTCATACAAGCGCTTACATTCATGTGATAGTATTGGCTAAAAAGTCAGACTACTTATTTTGACCTAGTTGCTTAGATTCAAGTAAAGGCATCATAATGGTGTAAATAAAATAATAAATAAGTGCATTTTGTTCTTCACACTCTGTGACCCCCAACGGCCACTTTCAGTGTATAATTGTGAACTCCGTTATCAAAATCACCAGTGCTTTTATAACCTTTAAAGCTGGATCTGTGACTGATTTGGAAATGCTGCATTTTCTTAATATACAGTTATTATTGATTTTGACCTATTTGACCTGATACATTATTTTAACCTATGCATTCAGTTGAACGGAAAGACTATTCTATAACCTTGTGCTTAACGGATGCTGATGTAAGGTGTTTCAAGCCTCTGGAACGGTTTCTGTTGAGGGTAATTCATTCTGTCCTTCAGGTCGCCTTCTTTTGTACAGTTTATACAGCCAAGCAATCAAGAATATCACAGCTATTACAGCAAAGTAACTTGCATAGATCAGAAACTGTGGAAAGGAGCAGACAAAATTGCAAACGATATTAGCAGCTTTCATTAGTGATCCACATTCATGATGACACACTGAGCTAGGTATATGTTGTACTTCACCTGTAGAAAAATGTCCAGGCCTAGACCGGCAGAATCTACTACAATCACTGTAAGAATCGTCTGCAGTAGAAGTGCGATGAAAGTGTTTATTCCAAAAACCAAAGCATATCTTCTCATACTTAGGTTAGCAGCTATCTGATACCTGCAATATAAAAGAAGGCAATTTTTTGGAAGAAATATGAGTGGCAATTGTCAAGTGCACAAGGAGAACTTGACTGAAAGAGCCAATAGAATTTCAGATAAAAGAGCAGTCATGTTTAGAAGGGAGTCTTGCAGCAACAAGATTTTGTGCAAATGAAACAAACACTGATGAATATGGAAAAAGTAGGTATTAAAACGGCTCAAAACTGATAAAAATACAGATGGATATGGAAGCAATGACTGAGTTTGGGCTCTCTGCAATTTACAATCTCTGAAGGTGAGAGATTTTAGGGCAGAAAGTATGGAAGGATATGGAGACAGAAAGCAGTACTTGTTCATTTAGCTTTTGCACATCCTATTTCAGTTTGATGTTTTTTTTGTTAGATATCCTCCTTAATCAGTGATTCTCAACCAGGGGGCCAAAACGTCCAAGAGGGCCACAAGATGGCTATAAATGAATTTAAATAAGACTAAACAAGCTTTAAAATAAGCTAACATCCAGATGTAAGCTGGCATATTTCTCATTTTAATTAATTCCTTAACAACTGCCATTTTATTTTAATTGTCGTCTTGGAAAACCTGGATACATGAGGGAATTTCTAGACCTGGTAAAGACAGACAGATAGAAATTGCTATTTATTAGTCAAATATAACTTTTTTTTTTTTAAACTGTAAAAATCACAAGTGCTACTCACTTGTAAATCATGTAAGTCATGTAAATTAAACACATTCAGTACTGATTTCTGGAACTATGAAATTTAATTATCTTAATTATTTAGAACTATTTAACTGTTTTAATATATTGCCACTCCTATGTTCTGAAATACAAAATAAAGATGGAAAGAAGCAGCTGTCAATACAGTACCAGAAACATCTTGGGGTGAACCTTCAGATATTGGCTTTGACAAACGTTGAGAACCACTGTCTTGAATATCAACAGTAATAATCAGCAGCAGTAGGAGTTAAATTTTTCATATTGCAATTCAACTGCTTTTTTTTTGGGCCACATCATGCAGTAGCATCAGAAAATAAAACTAGGTATGTGCCCGCCGAATTATTATGGGCCATATGCCCAAAAATCTATTACCTGCTAAACAATTAAATGAATCAAAATCCTTTTAAACAATCCATAGAACAGTGGTTCCCAACCCTGGTCCTACAGTACCTACCAAAAACTGCACATTTTAGATGCCTCTAATTTTTTTTGGGCCACATCATGCAGTAGCATCAGAAAATAAAACTAGGTTTGTGCCCGCCGAATTATTATGGGCCATATGCCCAAAAATCTATTACCTGCTAAACAATTAAATGAATCAAAATCCTTTTAAACAATCCATAGAACAGTGGTTCCCAACCCTGGTCCTACAGTACCTACCAAAAACTGCACATTTTAGATGCCTCTAATGAAACACAACTGATTCGGCTCATTAGAAGAAACTCCAAGACCTGAAATAGTTGTGGCAAATAAGAGACATCCATGTGCAGTGTAATAATTTAAATTGACCTTACAACAACTCCATGTCAGCTTCCGTGATTTGATTTCAGAAATCATGTTACACATTTTTCTTTGTGTTATAGTCGGTCAATTGTGTCTTGTTTTTTTTGTTATATTTAGTGTAGAAAAATAAGCTGATACACAAGCATGTGCCTTTTTTTGCAAGATGATAAAGTGCACTTGAAGTGACTGATTTCTAAAATCATCAGGTTCATCAGCGATCGAGCCAACTTGTGATGTCTTTTCGATAGATGGACACAGATTACCCACCCCTGAGAGTGGTAAAGCAGTCACTGTTGTAAGGTCAAAGACACAGGGTTCCTAGCACTTTGTAGTCAGAACAAAGTTGAAAGATACCCAGCTTACAATGGATTTCTAAAGAAAATGGATACAGATTGACAGCTTTACTTACGTTGCTATGGTGATAAGCAGCATGTAGGTAGCTCTGAAGAGCATGTAGGAAGTGTAGCAAACCCAGATATTTCGGATGGTGTCCATGAGGTACACACACACTGCAATTACCACAGAGAAAATGCAGAGGGCGAGTTCTCCCCACACTGCCCAGGACACTTTCACAAAGCTTACAACAAATGCTGCAAAAGCACCTGGTGGAGAAAAAAACAAACAGATAAATTAATTCATTTGGGAAAAATGTGTCAAACCGTTTTATTGTGAATCACATAACACAGTTGTGTGTCTGCTGTTATATAGGACCGTTGAATTTGTTTATGATAATGATGAAAATGCTGGTAACAATGGAAGCTTGATTTCACCTTGGGTTTAAAACAATAAAAAAGGTAACTGCAACTTTTTCTCTCACAGTGTTTAGTTTATATCTCACAATTCGGACTTTGTTTCTCACAATTCTGTGAGAAAAAAAAAAAAAAAAAGAGTCAGAATTGCAAGATGTACACTCAGCATTTTGAGTTTTTCCTCACAGTTCCGAGTTTACATATCACAATTTTGACTTTTTCTAAAAAAAAAAAAATTCTGAATTTCTCAGAATTCTGAGTTTACATCTCGCAATTGAGGTTTTTTTTTTTTTGCTTCCACCATGGCAAGTTTTTAACTTTCAATTACAATAAGTTAACATACTAATGTTTTACCCAAGAATTACAACTTTAAATCTCGCAACTGAATTTACATCTTGCAATTCTGAGGGGGAAAAAATTTGAGAAACAAAGTCTGAATTGTGACATTAATTGTGAGAAAAATGTTTGAATAACTTTTAATAAAGAGATACAGCAACAATTAATGTTTTTTTTTTTTTTTTAAGAAAAAAAAAAAAAAAAAAAGTCAGAATTGCAAGATGTACACTCAGCATTTTGAGTTTTTCCTCACAGTTCCGAGTTTACATATCACAATTTTGACTTTTTCTAAAAAAAAAAAAATTCTGAATTTCTCAGAATTCTGAGTTTACATCTCGCAATTGAGGTTTTTTTTTTTTTGCTTCCACCATGGCAAGTTTTTAACTTTCAATTACAATAAGTTAACATACTAATGTTTTACTCAAGAATTACAACTTTAAATCTCGCAACTGAATTTACATCTTGCAATTCTGAGGGGGAAAAAAATTTGAGAAACAAAGTCTGAATTGTGACATTAATTGGGAGAAAAATGTTTGAATAACTTTTAATAAAGAGATACAGCCACAATTAATGTTTTTTTTTATTTTTTATCCTGTGGTGAAAACGGTCTTCCATAGGTATAATGTATTCTCTGTTACCTATGCTTTTAAGAATGGGAATATAATAAAATGAATTGAATAAACATAACCAGGTGGCCATACCAAGCAAGGTAGATATTGTCTCCACGTATCCATTGTAGATCTCAAAATCACTGGAAGGTAAGATTTTCTCCCAAAGTGCTTGAGCATAATTAATCACCTGGAGGTAACCACATGTGGATAAAGCCCACCACACTGACCAGGCCAGTAGGGTAGAGCAGGAGTAACACTCAAGGAAGTCTGACCAGAGCATTTTTAACACTTCCAGTAATCCACTACTACTAGTATTGTCCTTGAGAGTCTGAAAGTCAAACAAATGAGTCAAACCAAGTCATAGAGACACATGCATATGTCTGTGAACATATCAGTGTGCGCCAATTTTTGTATTCTTTTAAGGCCAGTATTTAAGGGATAGTTCACCTAAAAATGAAAATTGTCATAATTTCCTCTCCCCCTATGTTGTTCCAAACACATAAGACTTCAAAACACAAATTACGATCATTCCAATAAAACCTGGGATATTTCTTTCCTTCCATTGAAAATCCAGGTAACTAAAACTTAGAAGATGCAAAAAGGTCATGGAGTAGTCGTTAAATGAATCCATATGAATCAAACGGTTTAATTTAAAGTCTTGTGAAGAGACATGTTCGCTTTATAAGATAAACAGATTTAAATTATGCTTTTATTCACACATTAAACACACATACATAAAGCAAATGCAGAAGCTTGTAAAAGTGTCAAACTACAACAAACATCAATGGCTCTTGTGTATCACGTACATCTGAACTTCTGGGTTTACCAGATGTGATGTGGGCTATGTATGTGTGTCAACAACTGTTTAGATGTAAATAAAAGCCTAAATTAAATCTGTTTATCATATAAAAGCAATCATGTCTCTCATATGGATTCATTTTAATACACCTTTTTGAGAGTTTTGATTACCTGGACATTTAATGGATGGAGAGAAACCGCTCAGGTTTCATTAAAAATACCTTCATTTGTGTCTTGAAGATTAACAAAAGTCTTGTGTGTTTGGAATGACAGAAGGGTAAATAAATTATGAATTTTCTTTGAAAACAATGTTTCATGCTCAAAAAGGAAACAATGCCTTAAGAGCCAGTGGGTGTAAATGTTTTGAACAGGATCATGTGTAATTTCTTCTTATTTTGTTTAAATATCATATGTTTTTATTTTGCACTCCCTTCAGACGCTACAGAGGAGTTTTTTTTTCTTGAGCATTAGTGAATGTTTTCTTCATTTCAAGATTATAAGTTATATAAATATATATTTTATATTAAAATAAATTTAATTAAACGGTTTGGAAGAGCAAATGTGTGTGTAAATATAGACATATACCGGTATATAAGGATTAGGGATGCGAAATACAGTGGCATGCGAAAGTTTGGGAACCCCTTGTAGAATCTGTGAAAATGTGAATAATTTTAACAAAATAAGAGAGATACAAAATGCATGTTATTTTTTTATTTAGTACTGTCCTGAGTAAGATATTTTACATAAAAGATGTTTACATTTAGTCCACAAGACAAAAACATAGCTGAAATTATAAAAATAACCCCATTCAAAAGTTTGGGAACCCTTGGTTCTTAATACTGTGTGTGTGTACCTGGATGATCCACCA